ACTAACCCTCTTAATTGTGTAATTACTTTTTTTCCCACCTTATGTGTTTTTTAGGACTTGACCACAAAGAGGCTGATTGGAGTGGGGGAAAGACGTGATGGGTTGTATCATTTTGCCAACCAACCTGTCGCTGCTGCTGTGGCCAAATCATCCATTGCTTCTTCAGAAATCTGATATCAAAGACTCAACCACCCTTCTAAAAATAGGTTGTCCAATTTCAAATTGAATAATGTTAGTTCTCCTGAATGTTTTGTCCCTTTTTGTGATATTTGCACTATTGCAAAACAATCCCGTTTTCCTTTATATTCTAGTTCTAATAAAAGTGATGTTCCTTTTCATTTAGTTCACTGTGATGTTTGGGGTCCTTATCCCACTGCTTCACATTCAAGAGCATACTACTTTCTTACCATTGTAGATGACTATTCATGGTGTACTTGGACTTACTTAATGAAATACACGTTTGAAACCTACAAATTATTATATCATTTTCTTAACATGGTAAAAACTCAGTTCCGCCATCAAGTTCACCAAATTCAAATTGATAATGGAGCTGAATTTTATCCACTGTGTTCCATGATCATGGCATCATATATCAACGGACTTGTGTCCATATCCCACAACAAAATGGTATTGCTGAGTGCAAGCATTGATACCTCTTAGAGGTTGCACGTGCCTTGTGATTTCAATCAAACCTACTTATCAAATTTTGGGGTGAATGTGTCTTAACCACTTGCTACCTCATTAATCGAATGCCAACACCCATTCTCTCAGGGAAAAGTCCTTATGAAATTCTCCAGAAGAAACCACCCAAATATGAGCATTTGCGGGTGTTTGGATGTCTTTGCTATGTTCATAACAACGGCATTCAATGGCACAAATTTGCAACACGTTCAAAGCGTTCAATTTTGATACGGTATCCAGTAGGTCAACATGTGTAGATACTCACACCATATACACGAGCCGTGATGTTATTTTTTGAGAAAAAATATTTCCTTTAAAAAACACAGCATCTGACTCACATCCTTCTCATGTTGTTTTACCCAATCTCGTGCAAGAATTGGATGCCCATACTGACTCAGTTGTTTCAAACAACCAACTAGCTTCCTCCATTCAATCTACCACTGAAGGAGATAACCATTCAAATTATGAAAACAAGTCACAACCTGTCACTTATGATGCCTCATCACCCCATATTCCCCTTCGTCAATCTACTCGTCCACATGTTCCATCAGCACGGCTTCAAGACTATGTCTACTCCATCACAACTAGAATCCATCTCCATCATGTCATCTTCAGGTAAGCCTTATCCAATTGAACCTTTTCTCATATGTCCAAAATTTTTACCAACTTACAAAGCTTTTGTCTCCACCATCTGTTCCAAAGAAGAACCCAAAACCTTCTCTCAAGCTGTTAAAGTTCCTCTTTTGCATGAAGCTATGGTAGCAGAAATTAAGGCCCATGAATTAACCAAGAGTTGGACCATAGAGCCACTGCCCTAAGGAAAATATTTTATTGGATGTAAGTGGGTATTCAAATCAAATACAAAGCCAATGCAACCATAGAGCGCAAGGCTCTTTGGTTGCAAAGGGGTACACCCAAATAGAGGGATTGGACTACCATGAAACCTTTGCCCCTGTCGCTAAGTTGGTTACTGTGAGGTGCTTACTCTCTGTTGTAGCCTCTCACAATTGGAATCTTTACCAACTTGATGTGAATAACATCTTTTTACACAGTGATTTACATGAAGAGGTATATATAAGAATTCCACCGGGGTTTGCTCGAGAAGGGGAGAACAAAGTTTATGGACATCGTAAGTCTCTTTATGGGCTGAAACAAGCTTCAATGAACTGGTTTCAGAAAGTTTCAATTGCCTCCATTGTCGTTAGCTTCAAGCAATCACCTGCGGGATTATTCCTTGTTCACTCACAAGTCTGGAGATCTCATCACCCTCTTATTAGTGTATGTTGATGATATCATCATCACCGGGAACAATGAGTTTCAAATTCATTGACTAAAACATTTTCTTCAATATCGATTTAGCATCAAAGACTTGGAAAAGTTAAAATATTTTCTTGGAATAGAAGTGGTAAGGTCACATCAAGGAATTTTGCGCACTCAACAAAAGTACACTCTCGATATTCTCAAAGAAATCGAGTTTTTGGGGGCCAAACCCATATATCTCCTTGTGGAGCAGAATTTGAAACTCTCTCCTGAAGATGGACAATTACTTGATAACCTGAAATCATATGGAATGCTTTTTGGGTGACTGATCTACCTCACTATAACACATCCAGACATCAATTTTGTTGTCCACATTCTCAATCAATATATACACCAACCAAGAGAGCCAAACCTTGCTGCTGTTGTTGTGTTCTTCGATACCTTAAGGGATCACCATGTCAAGGGCTCATTTTATCAGCAAACAATTCCTTTCAAATCTCTGCCTACGATGACTCTGACTGAGCTAGCTATCCTACTACAAGGCGGTCCACTACAGGGTACATCACATACCTTGGAACAAGCCCACTGCCATGGCGAACGAAGAAACAAACAACAGTCTCTAGATCTTTAGCAGAAATTGAATATCGTCCAATGGCGACCACTGTTTGTTGACTAGCATGGCTAAATACTTTTTTTTTAGATTTGGGGGTTATTCATCGACAACCAATGCCTCTTTACTGTGACAACCAAGCTGCCCTCCACATTGCAACGAATCTTGTTTTTCATGAAAGAATGAAATACATTGAGATCGACTGCCATTTTATTCGAGAGAAGATTCAAGTTGGCGTCATTTCAACATCTCATATTTCCACCAAGCTTCAACTTGCTGACATTTTTCACTAAACTTTTTGGGAAAAGAACTATTTTACTTTCTTCTTAACAAGCTGGGTATTCTTCTTCCTCACACATCAACTTGAAGGGGAGTGTTATGGATATACATCGTCGCCACCTCATCCAAAAACGATTCAACAACTCAAGACTTAGTCTTCCTTATCATTAGGAATTAGTTTCTATTTGTGTTATTATTCTTATGTATATATTTTGAACACAAACCATTATTGAATATAACAATACGAAACAATTTTTCAATTATTGATTTATTCATTAACAGTTTGTATATGGTTTTCTTCAATTACTGATTTATTCATTAACAGCTTGTATATGGCTTTTTTTTTTTTCTTCTGTAAAACTGTATGTCCACAAATTTGCATCTACAACAAGATCTCTAAACTCTTTTTGGAGGTCTCCATATGGTCATAAATAAATTTCCTAGCCTAATGCTATCCATCCTACGTTATGATGTTCTTAGGGTTTTCCATCCTACCTACCGCCATGGTCTCAAAAAAATTATTCTGGACAGTCAAATGAACAAGAAAATCCAACGTCGGTGGTTATGGACTTGCTTTCACCAATGGATATCAAATAAGGATATTTCTATTTTGGAAAGCAGGTTGTTATCATTTTCTTGCACACAAACTTCAATTCTCAGAAAGGTCTTAGAAGGTATTGCAATGGCCTTTAAAATTAGTATTTACACAAAATAAATTGAGCTTCTCTTATATTAAGTCGTATTATTTAGATCCAGGATGGGAGAAACCTCTATAAAAGCTTAGAAACTTTTGAAGCGGAGGAGAGAGACCAGAGGCACATGGAAAAAATGGCAACAGATGAGAGAAAAAAAAGAGGGAAAATGGGTTTTAGTTGATGAAGGGATTTTTGGTTTTTCAAGAACCCAATTGAGTTAATTTTTGGTTTTTGAAAAACTGAATATTTTAAATATTTCAATTTTAAAAAAATCGAAATTGGTCAGTTCCTTCTTGTTTTTTTAAAAAATTGTTACAGAAAAACTGATATATGTATAATAATGGAAACTTGAAAGTATTGTTGTAAGGGAAAAGTTTATATAGAGCCGGGGCTCTAAACAATCAAATTAGAGCCTACCTAAAAAATTTCACTAGAAAAGGTTGCTTTGATGCCTAAATATCCTCAAATTGATCATCTCCACATCAAGATGTGCATGAGAAAAAAAATAGATTTCAAGTTTTGAAAATAGTGTATTTTGTAATGTATTTTTGGACTGTCAATTTTCAAGTTTTTCAAGTTTTCATAGATCTCTTGATCTACACTATTTTTTTAAGCTTTAAACTTTATAAGTAAAGATGAAAATATATTTTAAAGCTATAAAAAATATTTTCAGTATTGAAACAACATTTCTCGATACTATTCGAAGGTAGGCTCTAATTTGATTGTTTAGAACCTGGGTTCTATACAAACTGCACTTTTTTTGTAATAACGATAAATATAACATATACATAACTTTCCCTTATGTTTTTTTCAAGTGCATAACGCTAATATTAAGATTTTTTTTGTTAGGTTAATCTATGGATTGAAGAGGTTATATCTCCAAAATTTAGGGTCCCAAATTTATTCTAGGTAGGGTTTTACCCAAGGGAGTAAATCCATATTCTACTCCCACATAAGCATAATTTCTTTATAGGGTGGGCCAGGGCGTGTTTTTTTTAATGTATATTTGGGTAAATCAGTTGGGACGATGAACTCATGCCGTTTGTTTGATGTCGTATTGAACAGGGGTCCCCTTGGGGCAAAACTAGTAAACAATGTTGGACTTTTGACAAACAAAGCTATAGCAATTTCCATATTTGTTTATCTGAAGTTCAACGTTGTTTTTGGAAGCCGCAATTTCATTTCCTTTCAATTGAATGATGTCATAAGCCGGTCAACGATTTAGACTCAGTCAGAGCATATCCAATTGCCATGGCATACAAGTGAATTTTATTTATAAATTTTTTTACAAAATCTTTTTGAGTTGAAATTTTGTTGATACGTGCGTCAACCTAAGCCTCACAAAAAAAGTAAAAAAATACCGTGCTTGTTGATGAACGTGAGCCATGTAGATTGTTGAATATGAGCCATCTAGATTGTTTGCTAGCTACAACTTGGTACTTTTGAACATGAGATCAAACCTAGCAACTATTTCCTCACAGATCGGAGGATGCATTCCACAACAAAACAAAAACGAAGAGAAATGAAGCAAACTGTGAGATTTGCATTCCCTTCATTGCAGTCTGAGCCTGCTTAAGGATGGCCCCATCAGAGAGCGCTGCCGCCTTAGTCCAAGCAGGGTGAGAAGAAATGTCCGACCACCACGTGCTCACATGTGGATGCGAAGTAAAGAGCGAAGCCTTCGGTGTCATCAGAATGTAGCGAATGTTGGGCAAGTGGTGGAGATCTGCTAGGCTCAACTTATCACCACCAAGATACTTGTTCTTCGCTAACATAGCTTCATACACGTCCAAGACTCCGTTTAGCTTGCCGGTTGCCTCCTCAACTACTGCCTCATCGACTGGAATTCTAAGCATATGCTTAACTTAGAGTTCCCATACGAGATTTAAGGAGGGACTATCGCAATGGTGAGACTCAACCTTCATCCACACAGCATTGATCGCCATTTCTAGGAGATCGGCTTTGACCAACTCTGTGCCTTGTTCCTTGTATTTGTGCGCTATGTAATTGGTGATTGCCTTTGATTTTGCATAATTGTAAGTTAATTTTCTTATTAGTTTAAATAGTAAGTGTGTTGTGTTGGGTTTATGTAGTCATTAAAGGCTTTATGAGTTATTGTAATAAAAACATTTCATATAGTGGAACAAGAACTCAGTGGGAGTGTGGTCCCTTGTAGACCATACTATTCAAATAGTATTTGTAGATACCGATTTGTGCTTGACGATCTAGGCCAGTTGGTTGGAAAAAACCCATGTTACTTGGGTACAGAGTATAAACCGAAAATGGTTCTAATAAGTCATCCCTTGATGAGGTCAGAGTATGCTTGGATGAGTGAGCAGAGAGACTGTGTGACCCTAATGTGTGATGGTGGCCTACAGAGACAGGAGCCAAAGCTTCATCTATGTACCATCATACGACATACATATTGATAGACCGTTTTAGAAAAACAAGCCACTTTCGGGGTTAAATATATACATGTGCGAGAAATACACCTATACATCATAAGAGCTATGGTCGCATCAGATCTAAGTGATCTTGACCCGTCTCTAGGGGATGACCTATAATCCACAGACTGAGATTATAACCTCTTGACTCATCGGTCAAACTTTGGTAACCTGCTAATGAGCCCCTGTTTGGATTATGGGTCATGGGAAAAACTTGGTCAGTCTGATAAAGTAAGTGTGGTCTGTAGTCCACAGTTGAAGGTGGAATGCCCCGTGATTTAATTCATAAAACATATGGATCATTTTTCCCATCAAATTAATTTAATTATGTTTGTTTTATGATAAAAATTATTTTAAAATTATTATTTGAATTTTTATAAACTTTTGGATATTTTATTTATAAAGTTTGAGTTTATAAATATAAAAATATTGATTGTACAATGGTTTTAATATTCAAATAATATTCTAATTTTTTTTTTTTTAATATTTAAAAAACTATGGAGACCCATTGTGCATATGGACCCACCATAGTCTAGGAGGTGGGGCTCATGATACCCCCTCATGGGTAGCATGCCCCACCCTCTTTGGATACCTTCTTTATTTTGGATATGGTCAATCTTGACGTGTAGTCAAATATTGTCTTGTGGTTGGATATATATTGGCCATATATTCACTTGATATAATCTTGAAAGATTTTGTGAAAGTATAAGAATGCTTGTGCTATTTTATAGTATGCACAGTATTTTGATTGGATTGAAATTACTTAATTTCTATTGATGGGAAAATGGTTTAGAAAAGAGAGATAATAGTTCATGCACATTCCATAATGTTGATGACCAATCTATGGAATGGATTGTGCAGATTTCTCACCCCACAAGTTACCATTGATCAATGGTTCACATTCAATCTCACTAAAGATGCAAACTATGAGAATCCCTAAGAAACCCTAGACCTAAATTTATTCTATAAATAGAGAACCTCCCCTCCTCTATTCTCTCTCAAAGTCTCTCTACTCTCTCTCTAAAGGGGCACGCCCCAAAACCTTAGAGGTCTCTCTCTCTAGCCACACATAAGAGGCACGCCCCACCTAGAAGGAATCTCTCATCTTATTTTTACCTAAGGGTTGGGTAGTAAGTCTTGAAGGTTTTGAACCTAGACTTAAGGTTTTGTCATCAAGAGGGATTCATAGTTCTATTATAGGATTTGGCTTAAACTTGCTTTTCCGGTTAAGATTGAAGCTAGAACGTTGATCCTGCACCATCGGATGGTGATGACTCGGTATGGGGTGTAATAAGCCCAATTGAAGTAATCTCCGACACTCTCTACTTTTATTTCTTGCAATTTCATCTTTATATTCTCAAGTATAGGAAATAATTATTTCAAAGGCATCAAGTTTCAAAATCTTGGTTTTATTGTTTGTTGATTTTATTTTGAAGTATATGTTATTGTAATAAGACCTCTTGTAAGTGATCTTTTGCCAAAACAAAAGAAGTAAAAAAAAAAAAATTTCCTACTGTAAAAGATCGTTCTTTCAGTTGTGCATAATTATGAGGATCAACATATATTATGTCAACTGTTATAAGAAAAAAAATTTAAAAAAAGCAAACATGTATCCAAGAGAATAAAAGGGTAAAGAAATGGGTAGTGAAATTTTGAAGATGTTGCATAGCTACAAAAGTTTTTGAGATAAAATAAATAAGATTTTTCTCTTTGGTGTTCTTTTCCATCTTGGTCAATTTGTGAAGTGCACAACTTTAAAGAATACAATATATTTTGTGCATCTACCTTCTATATTTGTGGTTAATTTTACATTAAAGCTCATATGGCGTGGTCCTGAAATTTTGAGTAGTTGAGGTCTTAAGCCGTCAAGGTCCTAGCATTGACTTAGGAATTCAATAATTGTGCATCAACATCATCAACATACTTTTTTTTCAACTATTTGGGGTATCTACATAATTTTTGGTCCAGTATTCTGCTTTATTTAATGGTTATATCCTAAGTGAGGCTTAGATTCCTCATATTTTTTTTCACTATATCGAACGATGTCCTTTTGAGCATATATTTTATTTTATTTTTAGCAATCCCTTTGAACTAACTTGCACCTCCTAATAGATGGTGTAGTGAATGAATATAAAAAATATACATATACCATATATTTTGTAGAAATAGATAAAAAAGGCAATCATATTTAAGGGCCAGTTTGGCTGGACCATTAAACAGGATTTGTAATATGATATAAGGCTAACGATGAGCTTGGAGGACCGGTGGGCCTAGCCCTAAACAACCTAGGCTTGGGCCACACTGTTTGGTCATATCGAAACCACAAATTGTGATGGGGATGTTAAAAATTTTAATTACTATCCCACTAACTTAATTTGTATTCTTACAGGGGAGATATATATCACTTTCGGATTGTCTACAAAGAGACTAGTTATCTTTAGAGCATGAATGTCATAATCATTCTCACTCATTAGACGTCAAATTAGATGGCTTGAGTTAAGTTACGAGGTCCAAGAACTTTACAACATTGCATTTATTAGTTGAAAGCTTAATGAACATTGGTCAAATAAAAAGGGAAATGCATACATACACCATCTACTTTTAATATAAAGAGTTTACAACTATTTTTGTCCGTCAGATTTCAAATCACGTAGTTATGAGTGTGTAAATGATTAGAGTCAAAGTTCAAAAGAAAAAAATTCTCAAACTTTATGATGCACCGCAAACCATCTAATTTGATATCTAATGGCTAGGAGCAATTGTGTCTTCATTGTAACAAAGATAAATAATCCCATAATATACAATTACAATAAAAAAACTCTATGTTTAAATACTGTAAAGGGACTAATAAAAATAATTGGGTGTAGTTTTAATAAGTTCGCAACCTTAAACAATCCAATTAAGGGTGCCCCTTCAAAGCTCATTGAAAGATGTAATTTTGGTTTGGAAAATTGAATGATGACCTGAAAAATTACTTTACATCTAATTATGTATTTTCACACTAAAAACTGATACATATTGAGCAGATCTACAAACACATGAAAATATTGATAATGAACAGTTTAGATAATGTATCATAAGATGTACCCTTTTTGGTACTTTAAAATCTTTTTTTTTTTTTTTCTCATTCATACATCTTGATGTCGAGATGACGAATTAAAGGGTTTTTTACCGTCAAAACAACCTTTTTCTCTAGAATTTTGAGGTGTGATTTTATGAATTGTTTAAAGTTGCAACTTTATACAAACTCTTTCGTAAGAATTTCTTATGCACAACACATTTATTAGAAGTGGAAACTCAAAATAGTTAAATACTTACTTACGCTGTTAAAAAAAAAATCCTAATAACACGTTCATATTCATTCACGCTTATGCATATATATGATATATTATCATATTAATAAGATTTTAATTGTGGTTTATATTTTAAATTTAAATTGCGTTATGTTGAACTCAAACTAACCCCTTAATACACATATAAAACAATAAATGGTTCTACCAATGCAATTGTGGAAGATGTTCAATATAAATTGCACATAATATTATTTTCACGTAAACTAATGTTACATATGTTAATTTGCTTGTAAATAATAAATTTATAATTTTAACTTCTGTATCTTTATTTCTTAATTTTAATTTATTATTTATATCTAGTTATATATAATGGTTGTACAGACAAATGCACGTCATACTGGATTTTTGGACTGAAATACTAGACACTCAAGACGCATACTAGATACAAGGCCCATATCATGTCTATGTAACATTGCTAGGTTGATCATAATCCATCAATTGGCAGTGAGTGTGTGTGTATTCCATTTCCCATAATCCACAATAAAAGGAAAAGCAGACCATCCTTCGTTAGTGTACGGTATATGTACACAAAGAATCTACGATGAAGAAGGGCTTCAATCCCTATTGACTTACCACTTTTGAGAATGGGGATGGGGTAATATCCCCTACCCTAACCATCATATTAAAAGTCTACTGTAAGTCCCCTCATGATTCCACCCATGTTTTTTATGGTGATATAAAACACATTAAATCAGTGGAAATACATTTCTGCTATAGATCTAAATTTTTTTCAGCTTAAAAAATAATGCAGATCTGATGAATCATAAAGAAATTAAATGAACAGAGTTGAAAAGGTTTTAAAAACTATTTTTGAAAAATTTGAATTTATTTATTTTTCTAGATTCCCAATCACAATGGTCGAAATTATCGACCCCACAAAGTTTAGATCGAAAATCCACCTCTAAGATAGATTTTAGAGTGGAGACGCATATAAAATGGTATGCCACGGAATAATGGCTTAGCAAGAACATAGCCCTGAGGGATCATCGATGTCAATTGAAATGAAGGGTGATGGAGAGAGAGTGGTACTTTTTTGAGAAAATGGGATTCACTAAACTAAGACATGCCTTAAATGGTTGGACCCACTCTCCCTATATCTATGTCGACCATTTCAATAAGATGGTGATAACCCCAAGGACTACTGTTTCAATAGTTTTTAGATTTAAAATATAATTTTCACCTTTTTTTTAATACAAAATATATTGTTATGATCAAATTTTGTATTAAGAAGCACAGTTAAACCTAAATTACAATCCACCCGACCTCTCCTCATTTTCACTTGACACTTCGTCAGAGTCAAGAGCAAAAACGAATTACATCTCGAACAAGTACAACGAAATCAGAGCCGATCTTCTGAGATTCGGAAACGTCCCTGAGTTTGCCCTCGTCTTGGTATGGATGGAGGTCGAAGCTCACCGATTCAACCCCCCAATCTCAGCCATTGTGCGTGAAGCCTTAGTCAAGCCAGCATTTGGGGCCACAACAGATGCTTCAGTGATCGAGTCTGAGGCCGAGAAGTTAGCCAAGGTATTGGATGTGTACGAGTCAAGGCTATCGGAAAACAAGTACTTGGCCGGAGAAAATTTCTCTTTGGCTGATCTTCACCACCTTCCCTATATACATTACCTCCTCAAAACATCAAAGGCAGATCTGATTACTTCTCGGAAGTATGTTAAGGCGTGGTGGGATGACATTTCCTCTCGCCCCTCTTGGAAGAAAGTCTCAGAGAATATAAAGTTTTAGAGTTTAGGGTTCAGGGTTTTAACTAGATTGAATGAAATATAGCTTTCTTGAAACTTGCTTATAGTTAAGTTTGGAATTTTTTTTTCCTCTGCATTTCTAATTTCATGATCTCCTTTCCTCATTTGTAAAGCATTTCGATCATATTCCAATAAATTCGCATTAGAAGTGTTATCTAGTTTTTGAATTGAATTGGTTTATTTAAGGCATTTTGCTTTTTAAAAAAGGGTGGACAAATGGCATATTAAACTTATCACATATCTTTAATATTAATTTAGGGCATTGGAGTTGAATTTTTCAAGGTTAACATGAGTGTTTATTGATTTTATTTAATTTAACATGACTTGTACACAATTTATGTTACTTGCAAGTTGCAATTACTTTGTTTAAGGAGCTTCACACATCACTTTCATTGTATTCAAATTAAATGATTTTGTTGTGGCTTAGGATGGTCTATTTCAAGCTTCCCAAGAGGTTACACTCGCAAAATAAAGCTTATCGATAATCTTTCACTTGTTGAGGACCATGGCATACTCCTCTTGGAGCGCATACTGTATACTTACTCCCTTGGGTGAAAGACTAATTTCATTGGTTCTTTTTCAATCTAAGATTTTGGGGTCCTCCTAAGAATCACTAGATGATTATTTTCATAACAAACTGGAATTTTTAGCACTTGAATCTAATATTCTAAAAGTTGAATGGTCTATGTCCAATCGTAGGACATTATTCTCTTCAATAACAAACAAAGTACACTTGAATTTTTATTTTTTATAGGCAGGTTGCTAACCTAAAAATACTCCTAAATTGAGTTTTACCAGAGAGAGAATAGAGGAAATGCTCCCAGTGGAACATAAAATATTAAATTACTTATTTAGTTAATGGATTTGGTTTTGTCAGTTTTCCTTTGGCTTTTCTAGCTCACTCACTTTCTGACTACTAAAACAATGATTCAACGACCTATTCCCATTCAAACTTTTACGAATGGATGTAGTTTCTGTAGGGCTAGATTTTATGAAAACAAAATAAAACCTCACCTCAAATCCTCATTCAGAAAGCATTTTTGGCATCTAAAATCTTATGATTGTTTTAAAATTAATTTCCAATACTGGCAGTAAAATTTGAAACTCAAAAAATAGTACAGATCTTGTGGTTTTGTGAACACTTAGTTTTAGAGGGAAATTGACGGTCTAAATGATTTGTTGCAATATACACTATTTTTAAAATTTAAAATCCTATGTTTTTCAACACTTGAATTGCAATAATGAGTTATAAGTGGAGGCTTTACCTATTTTGATAGGGCTGCAGCCCTATCAAACCATTTTCCTTCAAGAATATAAGCAACATCCACAAAAAAAAAAAACTTAGTACAACCAACGAACTCGAGTGATGTAAGCGAAGTTGAATACCACCAATTGACCTAGTAAAAAAAGCCTTATTTTGACACAAGGAGGGTAATTTTGACTTGTTAAATTGTTTTGGGTGTACACTATCGAGAAGTATAATACTCCAATTTTGACCATAAAAAAATTCGACAATCTCTGATTTTTTTTTTTTTTTGACAAAAGTTATCCAAGTTTTATTGTTGACAAAATGTCGAATCATTACTAAGGAATCAAGAGTTATTCCCTTCTGTATGATGTTAGCTTCCCAAACCAACCACCAAATCCTTTATCCTTTACCTAGGGGAGGAGATAGCTATCGACCAACAAGTCTATACTGACGACCACAGGAAAATACAATATTAGGAATATTTAAATGAATATCAATCTCCATAATGCCATTTCTTTCTGATAAATTTATGCACATATCCCCTACAGTTTTTGTTAATAAAAATCCCCCTATTTTATTCTTAATTTGCCACTACTTTGAATCTTTCAAAGATCCAAAGCCATAAAGAGATTTTATAATTTCATACGGAATATAATCATAAAATTTTTATTTTATTTTATTTTATTTTATTGAAGTTGATTGCTAGGTTCGGGAAGTTACTTTTCCAAAATTTGAGATCCCAAAACAATTTTAAATGGGGTTCTACCCGAGGGACTGAGCTCTCTCGCATGAATATATAATCCGTGTTGGTTTATTTTCAATTTTTATAATCGACCTATAGGATTAGGCATCTTGACGTCATCACACCTAATACCAATTACTTAATAAATATTTTGAGTAAATAAATGAAAGTTATGTTTTGTTAATCGATTTGGTTAATCAAACATGTGAGAAAGGTTGAAGTCCAAACTTTGAATTTTGTACCTTATCGAATATACTACACTGAAATTAAAAAGATGAAAAAGAATCCAATAATCCAACAAAAATATGGCCAAACTAAGTTACACATACACATATTTATGGTTATGGGTTTAAGGGCTAGCTTGTCTATTGTATATTATAGGGTAGATGGCCCAGATTCAACAATCTAGATGGCTCATGTTCATTAACAGGTGTGGTATTTTTTATTGTTTATTTTTATTTTTTTTGTGAGGCTGGGTTTTACGCATCTCTCTACATCAGCTCAAAAAGATTTATAAAAATACTTATAAACAAAATTCTCCTATATTCAATGGCTGTTGAATATGCTCAAAATGAATTTATGTGATTCAGCCTAGGCTGGCTGGCTCATGAAATCATTCAATTGGAAAGAAATGAATTTGTGGCTTCCAAAACAATGTTGCACTTTTGATAAACAAATATGAGAAGCGCTGCACTGGTAGAAGCTATCGGTGGGGATGGGTCGTGTAGGGTGCGGTCCAGGTCAAGGATAAGCTCAATTTGGAAAACCTAAATCATTAAAATTATAAGGAAATTACTAATAATCTTAGTAGAAAAAAAAAAATTGTATATCGTGATCCTCACCAGCCAAAACAAAACAAAAAAAAAAAAAGCCAAAAAGTAAACGATCTTATCTTGATGATTTTGGAAGGGAAAATGAGGTCATACCGAGAAGGACCGCCAAATCATTTTTCATAAATTAAGTTCCCAAAAAAGTTAATTTAAAAGTGTGAGCGATATGGTGCAACCATGGGTTCAAACTGTAAATATAGATCTTCATCTATTACTACGGAAGAGTAGTTTTATTACCCAAAATCATCTTAAAAAGTTTTTCATTTAACTAAAAAAATAGTTCTTTTTTTAAGAAACGAACATTTAGAGATAAAAAGAGCCCTGTTTTCGTGTACATAACATAATGGACGATTCAGTGAATCATAGAGTGCCTATGATATGGACCGTTTATTTTTACCCCCACACCATTTTTTAAACAATATTGATCTTGGAGAATAGGAAATATGGTTGGCGAATTTTGAGGTCCCTCAAACAACAGTAAATACTAAATAGGAGTGCTTCTGCGGTTCCAAATGAGCAATTTGGACCAACTTGTTGATGAAGCCTTTTGCCATGCTAAATTGAATCGATCAATATCGCAGGTCTCAAAAGATACCTACGCACATTTGCAAATTTACCAAAACCCAACCGTTCTTAAGCACCACTAGAAAGGGTGTGGTTTGTACAATGCCGAGGCCCTAAGCAATTGAAGTAAGGTGCATCTTCAAATAGTACCGAAATAAAAATGTTTCGATATTAGAAATCTTTATGATGGCTGAAAATAGTTTTTTATTTCTGATTATAAAATTTACATATCCAAAAGTAGTATAGATCGAGTAGATCTCCAAATACTTAAAAATCTTGAAAATTGATGGTCTAGATAATACATTATATGATGCATTGTTTCCAAGACTTGAAATCATTTTTTTCTCATGTCCTTATATCTCAGGTTGAGATGATTGATTTTGAAGTTTTTCAGCATCAAACAATCATTTCTAGTGAATTTTTGAGGCACCTCTTAATTCGATTGTTTAGGGCCTCACCCTTATATACATATTTTCCTTCTAGGAATTCTACAAGGCAAATGGCTCAGAAGCCATACTTTTTTATCTTTCCAAATACCAATTTATTTCTGACAAAGAAGGCTAAAAAATGGGGAAATTTAGTTGTAAAATATGAACAATTCAATACTTTGGGCAGTGATTTCCTGCAACGACTGTAAATTAATATAATTCAAGAGCCTTCAAAAGCCATGTTAGGGCCATTTGTTTGATTTTAATATTTAAATGTACACTCTTTTCATTCTAACGAATAATCACAATAAAGAAAAATTTGAAAATGCAACTTAGAAAGTATTTTTTTAGGCCCAATTAATATAGGTTGTCCATTTTGGTAAGATGCCTATATCTAGGCCTTACCATGATTTTTTTTCTTTCCTAAATTTTTAGATAATCTTATTATCATTAGATTAACAATATTAAAAAATAAAAAAATTATTTTGAATTCATATAGGTCTAGATCTTTAAATTTATCAAATGGATGGTCTAGATTCATTGTTGGAGGGGACTCATTTTGACCATATATATGGTGCAAATTATTATTTTTATTTTTAAATTGATTATTGAGATGAAAATAGTGTGTGCAAATTTTAGGTCATACAAATATCACAAACATAGTATTTTAGAAGTATGGTTGCATTATACTATGATACAATCGTTGCATGAAATCATTGCCCACTTTTATATCTTTTAATTTTTTTTAAAATATACCCTATTAAAAAATAAGTTGAAATAGTTGCAAATGGGCAACATGTTAAATACCCCATATGTTGTACCCTAGAGGTATTTTGATGTACCTTACTGGTATTTTGATAAATTTCCTAAAAAAAAACCAACAATTGAAATGTATTCTAATTTCGAAAGTAG